TTGGGGTAAGCTCTGGAAAAGATTTAAAGGGGGTTTTTTTGAAGCTTTTTTTTCCCGAAAATTTAACCTGGACAACACAAAAAAAGGTCTTTTTTTATCTGATTTTTTTAAACAGGTCAAAGGGTCAAGGTTTTTATTTGGCAAAACTGACCCCAAGCCCAAAATTTTACCAAAATTTATGATGAACTTGATTAAACTTGAAGAAAGGTTTTCAAACCCCCCAATCCAAACCGAAAATTTTATAGAAATTCTAATTTTCGAGAAAGGAAAACTAAAGCCTACAAATCTTTATCTGAAATGGGGCGGGACTTAAAGACGTTTGAACTTAAATTTGTAAAACCCTTTTTCAAACCATCAGGGTGTGAAAGAATTTTTTAGGGGAAAAACCATTTATTTAAAAATTCTTTATTTTAAAAATTTTGGATATTTGGGGGCTTTGGGGAATTAAAAACAAGCTCGTCCTACTGCTTTTAATGAAAACCCGTAAAACTTGCTGTTTGGGTTTTAGGCTTTCAACAGGGCCCGGGAAAAAAAAAATTTCCCGTAGAAAACCCTGGGTTTAAAAATTTAGAAAATTTAATCTCTTGGGCGGGGAAAATTATTAGTCCGAAAAGTCAAAAGAGACAATTTTTGGGTTTTCCTGAAAAAAATTAGAGAGGAAAAGAAAAAATAATTTTAAATTTTTAATTTTTTTCCACCCAAAATTAACTATAAAAATTTTTGAATAAAAAGAAAAAACCCAAGGGAAAAAATGCGGAAAATTCATTTAAAACATTTTTTCTTCAAAACTTTTTTTAAAAAAGGTCCAAAAAACAATTTGTTTGAAAATTTTTTTGAATGTGGTAGGGAAGGTTTAATAAAACATTTGTCGGGGGAAAAATTTAATTTGTGGGATCAAAAAACGAAAAATTACTGTGTTTTTTAGGGAAAGGGTTGTTGGGAAAATTTCGGGTTTTTTTTGGATTTTTAGGGTTTATTTGTTGAAAACTAAAAATAAAATGGGATCCCAAACTAAATTTTTTAAAATTTTACTGGTGCAAAACTTTCTTTATTTCTCAAAAATTTTTTAATTTGATTCAAATTTCCCCTAAATTTTAAAAACCGGGGTTTAAACAAAAATTGTAAATGGGCCCCTGGAAAAAACCCTTTTGAAAAAAAGGGTTTGGACTAATTTAGATATTAAATTGAATGATGAAATTTCAACAAATCCTTTCATAGTTTCTTATATAGAGGGAGATGCAATATTAGGTTTAGATTTTATGACAGCAAGAAATATTGTTATAGATGTTCCGAATAATCAGTTGACAGCCAATGGTAAAAAGATACAAATAAAATGTAAAGGTCCGATTGGTTGTAATCGTGTGATTTGTCATTTTTGTGGAATGAAATTTAAAAAGAAATCTTATATAAGACAGCACTGTAGAAGAATACATAAAGTTACGGAATCTAAAGTTCGAAAGTTGTGCATGTCATAAATTGTTAGTGGCATTAAAAAAGTAAGTTGTATGTTCATGCGGGGCGCATGTAAAACGGAGGCGTGGGTAGTGTAACGTTTGACATTTTTACTAAGCTAGATTTTATTAAAGATTATCGTTTGCTGAAATGATTTTAGTGTAACTTTACTATTTATGTTAATTGTTTATGTTGCGACAATGTATTTAAGTTTACGGTACTTTACAATATACGTTTAGTATACGTATTTTCAATAAACGTTTTATATCATATAATATAATAATCGTCTCAGTGATAGTGATCATTCTAATCAGCCAATGAAAATTAAGTCATGCTTGAGCGATCATCTCAGCAGGTATAAATACGGCGAATTAGAATCAAAATTATTCAGTCTGCAGAGGAATTCACCGGACAAGATTACTCTATGTAATTGAAGCCTCGCTTCATACATAGAGGATAATTTCGTCTACCTAACTGAAGCCTAGCTTCATAGGTAGAAAAGAAGAATTGGCCAAAACTAAATACCTTGTTTATCCCAATTGAAGCCTAGCTTCATGGATATAGTGTCGTTATAGTTTAGTTGTGAAATTGTATTTGACTCTGGGTACTTATAGACCACCACATTACCTGAAAGCCTCGCTATCAGGAAATTGGTAACATATAGGTATTAAAAATCCAGAGGTAGATTTAAAACGAATAAGCTTTGTATAGTTGGAACTTTGTTGTAAATCCCTACCAGCAGCTTATCTTTCTATCTAAATAGAAGCCTCGCTTCATAGATAGGGAGGTAGTTGCTGGACTATAGGAAATTATCGGGTTGCAGCGTGATATCTATAGCTTTTGAATCATTTCATTGTGTTATATTGTAAAGGTATTTACTATATTTAGACTTTTTAGAATTTAATAGTGTATTTTGGAGTATTAATTCAAGCTGATTGTTTATGATATATGATAATTTCATAATCATTTGTATCTAATCAAACGGCAGGTAGCCCAAAGAAAAATTTATTATATATTCGTTGTACATCCGCTCGGTACACGTTACAATTCCACGTGCAATTCGTGCTGCTACTTTGGAATCAGAAAAAAATCATTTATACATGTTTTCATGCAATGGTTCATATATACATGTACATCAGAAGAACAATCACAAAAAATCGCAATTTCTGGTGATAGGTGGCAAATTTAAGCATGATCGTGTAAGTATTGTTTTGTTGTTGCTTTATTTTTAATTAATCAATCAATCAATCAATCAATCAATCAATCAATTTATTTATTTATTTATTTATTTATTTATTATACCCCACTAACAAACTTTTGGGGGAATATATAGGGGTCAGCGTGTCCGTTGGTCTGTCGGTCGGTCCGTCCGTCAGTCGGACGGTCGGTCGGTCGGTTTCCTTCATAGATTCCGGACGTTAACTAGAGTTTGGAATGAGGTATTGTAATCAAACTTGGTATATAGCAACCTTATATAGAAATTGCTTTCGGCAATATAAGTCGTATAAGTCAGAAACAGTTTACGCAAGTTTTCTTCAAAAGTGTCTTCTTACAGACAAACAGTTGAAAAGATAAACAAGAATTTGTCCGAGGCAAAGCTGAGGATAAATTGTTGTTTGTTCTAGTGGACTGTCTTTTCTTTACGTCTGTAAGAAGACACTTTTGAAGAAAATACGAAAATATCAGACTTATACGACAATTTATAATTGTAAAGAACAGATAAATTAATAAACGCATTTCATGATAACTAGATCTTATTGAAAATAATGTATATGTATGTGTTTGTTGAAAATATATAACTATCGAACATATTTACATGACCTATAAGCTTTTGGTAGTTCAAGTTGTTGGCAAATTGTATTCGCACGGAGTTTTCGTGCATTTATTTCAATCTTTCATTTAAAAACAATTTTTAAATGGCTGCCCCACATAGAGTCGTATTGATTAAAATCGATTAAAATCGATTATGACGATCAACATTGTAACAAACATGTATTACCTAAATGTTATATGTATAAGCATGATTTTTTTTGGTTGGGGACATATGTTGTTGTTGTTGTTGATGCTGTTTTCTGATAGAATGTCGGAGGTTATACAAGAGTTTCAGCAAACAATTGTTAGTATCGTCGAAAGAATTTCACTGCTGATATCAACAGTTTCTTTGTTCCTGTAAATGACCACCCAATTTATTTATTATTTTTTGTTGTTGATGTTGTTGATGATAAACTAAATTTACTCCTGAGTTGCGATATCAAGTTCGCTGCAACTTTCCGTCTGTCTCCATGTTGTCTTGTTTAAGGCAGATAAAACATCGCCTGTTGACTAAATCTCTTGTTTTAGCTCGACTATTTAAAGGATAGAGAGAGCTAGCAAGTAGGCGTTGGCGTTACATTTTAGTTACGTTGGTATCTCCAAAACTACTGAAGGGGTTGAAACTTAACATGCTTATTTGAAAGCATAATAGTCAATAATAATCCAAGGTTCATTACTCTTACAGAGATTTTGACATAATTATGTGGCCCTTTTTTAACTAAAAATGTCAAGGCACTTGTTTTACTGTCAAGCACTGAGGATAGTCAAACAAACAGCTTTTGTAATTAGATACGTAGCGGTAGCTGTCGAAGAACTTTTACCATAGTTACTTGTTATGTTAATAAGCTACAGTTCTCGAAAGAAACATGCGAAAGTTAAAGTTAATCATCGCGAAGTTTTTACATTTTTTTTCTCAAGAAGATTAAGTTAAGTATGCGACAAAGCTGGGACATACGATAAGTTATATCCCAGGACAAAGTCAACGTTGAATAGCGTCAAAAGTTTCATTCCAGGGTGTAAAATATCGCTACTTTATAAAAAAAAAAGGGCGACACAAGACTTCAATAAAAAAAGTGTCTTTTACCTGGCTAAGATAGGACTCCGTATATTACAGCTGCACTAAATCCATGTGAAGGTGGACCTGACAGTTATTTGTCTTCTTACAGGCGTAAAACACACTTTTTGAATAGCTCTGTTGGGGGTTTAGATGTATACCGTATTTTAAAAATTCATTGCAGATGTGAATTTAAACGAATATGCTAATTAAGTTTCTAATTAAATTGCTATATAAGATATTTCACATTATGGTCGTTTGGGAACCTGTTCCCATATCAAAAATACATCTCTAGCTATACCCAACTTTGGCAACAGAAGCTATATTATGCCCCGGCTGATTTTGATTTTTTGATCTGAACTGAATATTATATTCAGTTCAGATCAAAAAATCAAAATCAGCCGACTGCCCCGACATTTTTTCTTTTCAGTCAACGCATTTTATTAAATTAAAAACAGCAATAAAAAAAACCTTTAGTTTTACGTTACACGCCCATTTATGATAGCGTTCGTTAATGATATATGCGGTCCATTTTTTTCCATTAAAATAGTTTCTATAACTCAGTTTAGATATTTAATGGAGTAGACGACGTCTGACTGATTCGCGCAAAACTTTATTACCATTTTATTTTCGCGCCATTTACCTAAACCGGAACTGAAATTATGTTAAAAGTGCGCACGCACCAGGCAACGATATAAACAATATGGCGGACGTCTACTAATTCATGAAATATATCGGGTGCTCGTTATCTGTACAGGGGTCATAAACCGTGAAATTGAGCCTTTTGTTTTATTTACACTTGTCCTTTTAAAAGAGATAATGACAGAGCTATTGTTTACATGAAGTGTAAAGAGAAAATGAATGAGACGTGAACTTAAATGACCTTAATTGGAGTTAATTGAAATTTAATTGGAATTTTGATAGATAAGGGCACCGATAAAATGGCTACGGGTAGTGCGTTGAATTTGTCTTTACTTTCAAGAGGTGTCGGAGAGGTGACGAGGAACGGATCTGAAAAAGTTGATGTCATTTTTGAACCCCAGGTATTGTATGGTTTATGGCTTATGATTTCATTTTTGATTAATGAACTCTTTGTGTAAATTTTGCAATATTTTGATTATAGTTTGTATAAAAACTAATAATATAGGGGTAAATGAAATAGAAATAAAGATATTCTTGAGATACTAAAGAGAAAGAAAGCTTGGCATTTGAAACAAAGTTGCATATTGTTTGTAAATGTTCGGTTAAGCAAAGTTAATATGGGGAAGTCAAAGGGCAGGTCCATGACGCTGGGTTGGATTTTGGCTTGCTCGGCAATGGACTACACATGTGTACATAGAAGGAAATCATATAAATGATTAGAAATATATATATTTTTTGTACATGTGATTTCAGTGAAGTTTTCAATGTCATTTCTTATTTGGGCGCCCCAAATCATATATAAACGCCCAAAATCATATATTAATGATAAGAAATATATAGCTTTTTTGTACATATGATTTCAGTGAAGTTTTCAGTGTCATTTCTAGTTGGGCGCCCCAATTATTAAATGCAACTCAATGGTACAATTTTATACTTAGTGGGCAATTCTGACGTTACAGGACATTATCGCAACTTTTCTGCTTAAGAATTATCAATAAACGCCTAGGTGGTCAGGATTGAAAACCAAAGCATTGAATGAAATACCGAATGACATCTTTAAAATGAAAATATTGTGTAAAATAAAAAATGAATTTTTTTTATATGCCAGAAAGAATTTTGGGCATCTCCAACTTCAAGAACTTCGGCATATTATGTTATATCCCTGGAGTCTTTTCGTCCATCCGGCGACGTAGCATCTTTACTTACAAGATAACAATTTATGAAATATTCCCATGTCTTACAAATGCTTCATCATTACTAAAATAAGAACACTTTTTGGGCATATATTGTTACGCCTAGCGGTGCCCTTGTTTTTTATCTGTCACTTCACTGTTTATAGACTGTGCCTTACTTTCATATTAGTGTTATCAGTTTATTGTATTTCTTGATATTTGTTGAGTGCATTTTAGACATTAAGGCATTATAAGTAAACCCAGGGCAATTTAATAAAGCTAATTTTGCTTAACTCAAGAAGGCTTTTTCAATTCAAGTTACTGACAACTTATCTGCTAAAATTATCTGATAGATTGTAAAAAAAATCATATAACAATAATCTTTGTCTTAATTGAAAAGCACAACTTAATTGTACCCCAACCCACTCCCAACCCTTGGGAGAATGATAATGTGGACTTTACTTTCAAACCCAAGTACATGTAAATGCCCCAGCCCACTTGTCTTTCTATCTGCAAATAATGTCAAATGAAATGACATATGAGATGATAAAATCCACAGGAAATGTACCCACACTGCAATTTTGTCTCAATGGACTTCAGGTGCCCAATGGACTTGAGATTATTAGTTAAAATAATCTGACATTTTTGTGCAGAAAGGTTGTCCGAAGATCCTGTCAGTTTCCAAAAGTTCTTGTAGTATATATTTTGCTTCCAACATTATGGGCCTATCATGATATATAATGTTTAGGTTTGAAAAAAATTACATTATTCTCTGTACTTGTGTAAAATTTAAATACGAATACAAATTTCAAATTAACACAGGGAATATATGTTGCAATCTGGAACTTTAACCATACAGCATAGAAGGTAATTTTACACTGGGTAAGCTTCCCTAGCTCATTTAGCATAACATAATTTCAAATTGAAAATAATAGGAATGATTTCATGCTTATTTTAAACATCAGTTTGTGTTGTTGTTACACAGATTATGGATTTTTCTTCTTTTTTTCCAGGATTATTTCAATTTTGTAGAAGAATCTCATGACAGACCTTTTTTCCTGCCACCATTACAACCTAGATATGGTTTCACTCAGGAGCCATCTCAAATCTCATCAAGGTACAGTAGTTTGATTATGGTGTATCTAAAATTATCAGCATATTTTTTAGGGACAGCAGGATCCTGCATCAGAGACACACTAATTTGTTGAAGAATTTTATTCCACCCTTTAGTTTTGCAACACATGATTTAAAAACATTTGAGATATTGCTTTGAAACAATGAATACTTCATCTTCAACCTTACTTCCACATTATTTTTAGGCAAAAATACATGTACATGTTTATAACTGCATCATACAAAATATCAGTACTACAAAGGGGAGCAGTGGCCAAATATGTAAAGTTTCTGCCATTTAACTTGGGGTCACAACTATGTTTTGCCTCCTATAACACCAATGTGACTTGAAAGTGGTTTAGATATATTTCAAGCTCTTGTTGAAACTTTTTTTAATTACTTAAGAACTTATTTTGATTAAGTTAATGATTCTTATACTTCAGGTATAGTCATAGCAAAGATGCCGTCCATTTACCGAAAACATTCACCACTCGTAAAGGCGCGTTACTCTTGTTCTCTGAGGACATGGCTCATAAAACTAAAGCCAGCGAGGCGAAGAAACACAAACATCATCATGGTCATCATAGCGATAGGGATATGACAATTTCAGAGCTAGAGGAATCAAGCACCGACAGAGATCTGAAAACTGTAGATGATCTCGCAAAATCTATCCTAGCTTATGGAAGCATTGTAAGTGTAGTATTAATAATATAGCCTACACAAGCCACAATATATATTTTTTTTATTTAGCTCCTTTTTTAATGCAGTTTTTTTTTGTATAAAATTCACTTTTTTTCTTAGCATAAAGGGTTGTATTCAATCTGAAGAAAAATTATTTTATTTCCCGATGGTGAATTAAACAAAATTTTTAATTCTTTACTTATTTTAACGCCAAATTCAGAATTAAACTTTAATTGTGCAGTCACAGTGTTTACCATATTTTATTGTTATTGCAGGAAAAGAAGCTCTAATTCTTTAATGTATTCATATGCTACAAGCATACTTTATTTTTTCCTGCATAACATAGCAGCAAAATTTAGCCACACATCACTATAAAAAATTTCTCCAACTTCACTTAAATGAAACTTGTTGATTTAACTCAAAACTGCAAGGATATACAATTTTGTTCTTAATTACATATTAAACTGAAAATTTTGAAATTTGCATTTTTACCAAAGTTGGATATGTTAGACTAATATGTTCCAAATTATAAAGCTGTTGGCATTATTTATTAAGATCAGAGAGTTATATTATTTATTCAGTATGTACAATTTGCATTATTTTAAGTCTTAAATCTAGTCATAAATTCATAATATGTTTTATGAGATAGGTATTCAACAGGTTTATAAACCTAAACTATGACTGTAGTAATATGAACAATGAATGTTTAATTATTAAACGTCAGTCACTATGGTTTTCATGGTTTTAATTGTCAAACACTCAATTGTCTAGAATTCAAAGGCCTACATACATTGTATTTAATCACAATGGCAAAAGCTATAAAATAATTTGTTTTCAAAACTTTTCCATTAAAGTTTTAGTGTTTTGTGGTATAAGATAGAAATTATCAAAGGGTAGCCGAAAAGTTCTGGCTGACTTTAATACTGTAGATACAACTATAAACTTTGTCATTTGACAAAGCTATCCAGTTTGCTTTAAACGTCAAAGGTCAAACATTCTACTTAAATTCCTATCTGTGATTTAAATAATGCTTTAGAGGTGCATATTAGGTTTTCCTTCCTGCCGTAAAGCTGGAAAGTCCCCATATTACTTATCCAGTGTGAATTAAAACAAACAAACAAAAATAACCGGAACCAAAATAAAAAGGTAAATATTCATACAGAATCTGGTAAGACTAGGTCATTTAAAACAATGACCCACAGATAGAATAGTAAAATTAAATTAGAAAAAACCTTGTAAAGTTACCCTAAATAGCAAAATGCCTTTAATAGACATACCCATAGCTGCAAAACTTTCACTGAAAATATGTGCCAATATCTAGATTGTTTACAAGCTTAAAACTTCAGCTGTCACCTTGAGATAGTTATTGTATTTGTAAAAAAATTGTATTATTTCTTTCTTTCCAAGGATGAAAGTGGGAACATGAATCTAAAGGTGATGGCACAGAGGACAAAAAGGAGAAGGTACGACTATGAACGTCAAATAAGACCTGGGTTCTCCGCCAAAAGATATCTCTCCACTTGGACGAAAACTTGGGACGATACAACACTAGAAAAAGTTATCAGTAAAGGTACGATTATTATCAAAGTATATTAAAAAAAAAACTATTTGAAGTTATTGATTTTGAAACTGACAAAAAAGGCATAAAAAGTAATTGAAATTGTTTTAATGTTTCTTATTATTATATCTTTAATCTCTGTTTTAGATATGCAGTCAAACTATATATGTTGATAATTAATATAAATTTGCTAAATATCAGAAATTAACAAGTGATAGGAATTTGTCATAAAACCAGATTTTCTGATAATATTTTAAATGTTGTAAAAAAAACAACAAAGGGCCAAAATTATCCAAAAATGATCAAATCACAAAATCCCAGACAATAATTATGCACCAGGGCACTTTGTGTCAACAGTGCATAGAGGAAGTAAAATTGATTACACCTGTCTTAAGATTACTACACTACCCACACCATGGTGTACATGTTCACCAGTCTTATAACTATGGTTTTTCCTTTAGTAATTTATCCTAATTAGAACACCTGATATGTCAATAAAAGAAAAAAAATCTTTTTATTTACAGGATATTTGACAGAGAAGTCATTATTTTATTACAACCCACTTCTACCTCATCTGTCACGAAGGTTAAATGATGACCTCTCACATTACCCCACCCCCTACAAACTTATGAGAAGTATGCTGATGTCACCTGGTAGTTTGTCAGGCTACACTTTCTACAGAGTGAGGCCGGAGTCACAAGAAACAGGTAAACATACCCAATTTCTTATGTTTCATTTTTAAAGATGGAGATTTCCATGGCTTAGTATTTTTATTTTTTGAAGAGGAAGATTTCCATGGATAAGTATGTTTCATTTTCAAAGAGGGAGATTTCCATAGCTAGATATATTTCATTTCTGAAGGAGATTTCCATTGCTAAGTATATTTCATTTTTGAAGAGGCAGATTTCCATGGCTAAGTTAAATTTCATAATAACCTCTGGGAGACAAAAATTTCAGGTGGGATGTGTTGCTCGGGAGATTAAATTTATTGTGAAATCATTTTGGAAGATTTGATACAGTTGTTGTATAGAGGTTATTGCTCTAGAGAGGGTCTCTCTGTAGAGGTTGCTTGGTGTTCATTTGTATTCATGTTGTTACTGTACTTCTTTATTTTGGTTGATTGGTATTTTTGATAAGGGACTTTGCCAAAGGTAGGGGAAAAAACATACATTAAATTTTAATTAATAATTTTTTGCAAAAAGCTTAGAATATATTACAGTGAACCTTCAATGATTTTCTAAATAAAAGCAAGATATGAAATGAAATGTGCTTTATGTTAAATTTAAAGTAAAAGCTAAGAATAACATTGGCATTAAGTAAAATCTAAAGTATATGTTAGACAATAAAGTGTACATCATATCAACTGAAGAGGCTAAATAAAGCAAAACATGTTTTGATAAATTGTGTTGGGTTGTGAATTGTTTTATCATATCCTTTATGTAATGTAAAATTAAAAAATACTTAGAAATCTTTATGACATAATGAAAAAGACAGTTTAAGTTTGCAATAAAATTAGTCTTTTAAAGTTACTATTGTCATATTACTGCCCTTAGCCCAGATTTCCTCATTCAACTCCAATTATGCAGAAAAAATACTGAAATTTATATTCATAATATATAAATAAGGGAGATGATATTTTCAAAGGGAGACAATATTTTCAAAAATATTTGATGTTCTGTTACAGACTATATAGATATATCTGAAGATGAGGAAATGAGATCCCTCGTAAAATCTCGCCAGGCTGGATCTGTCAAGGTCGCTAGTGTGACAGCAGACGGTCAACTTAAAGAAGCTATATACGGACAGTTGGACAGACAGGCTCAGGCCGAGGTGTTGACTGACCTTCTGGTGAAAGGAGCCGTCCATTATGCCATGAAAACCCAGCAGGTCAGTTGAAATCAAGTTTTTGACTATCTCAGAAGGAACTCCACTGAGGTTCACATGTGTTCAATAAATAAATTTGAATCTCTTACGTAGATCAGTTGGGACACTTAAAACAGAAAAATATACAAAAGATAATTAAGAAGTATATTAAAAAATGAACTGAAAATCATTAATTATGCTGTGCTTTTCTTTTCCCAATTTGAAACACTTTCCTAATTTTGGGTCATTTTTCACAATTTGAATAATTATTTCACCAAATGATCTGATATTTTACGCACAAGCTTTTGATTTAGATCTTCATCTATTGGAACATTGATCTCGAACAATTATTTTCAGTCCCGTCATGCCAAAAACCTCAGTGAAGCCCCTTTAAAGAATACAAAGCTATATCTTATGAAATATTTTTTATAAAAATTTAGAAATAGTGAAATATTGTTGTTACAATTCACAAGTTTATGGTTGATTCTCCAAAGAAATGTAAATTTAAGTTAGAATGGCATTGTTAATTAACACACATGACTATTTTGTGTAACATAATGACATAATGAAATGTTCTGGAACATAATATTGTGCTGCTGCTTTAGTAGGGTGTTAAGTGTTTAACAATGAATTTATACATGTGCAATAGGCTCTTAAAGAAACATACAAACATTCATGTAGTTCTTTAGATACAAATACATGTATTTTGGAAAAAAATTCAAAATTTGAAAAATTATTTTATATTAACTTGCAGCAGATACACTTTAAGATGCCCGAGTCTTGTTTGCTTGTTTTGCCCAAAATATAAGTAATCTATGTATTTTTTTTCTATTTTTTCCTATTTATATAACTTGCTATTTTTTTTCCGATAAAAATTACAACTTACCACTAATCATGCTAAAAATGTACATTGCTTTAAACATGTTATATACAAAAGCTCAGAATACAACACAGCTACAATTATTTTGGGTCAGAATCAAAAGCATTAAAATTAAGTCTTTTCTACCAGATACATGTAGTTATATATTTTGTGGTTGTTAGATGACAAATAAAAAGATTAAACTCTGAAACTGTATATTTTAGACCTCAACCTATGCCACTTGCCTGATTAGCCAAGTGGTTAAAATTACTGACTTACTGTCTCTTGCCCCTCATCACTGTGGGTACAAATCTTGCTAAGGAATTTGAATTCTTGCATATCAGACTGGCGTTTCTGTGAATTTTACCCATGCCGGAAATTTCATCTGGCAAGGGGAGGTGCCAAATGAGTCGCCTGCTGTACAATGGCACACTTAGGATGACGTCATTTTACCGTTATGAATGAAGTTGTAATTCATACGCTGTTGTAAGAAAGTAGTTACGGATGTAATGATATAAATTTCCATTGAAATTAAAAATAAAGAATTTTAGATATAATGGAATATGGTAGAATATGTAAGAAAAAAATATGTGTCATATGATTGTGGTTCGGATCGGAATAATTCTGTCCCTCGGTCACCCACCCATGGGCGGTAACGAGGCTTGCCAAGTTACCGCCCATGGGTGGGTGACCGAGGGACAGATATTCCAATCCGAACCGCAAAATATGACAGATATTATTATTCCCTAATGTGAGTAGTCTACTTTAAGCATTATTATGACACAAAAACCGTCAATATAACTGAAGGCCAAACTAAAAACTAACAAAATCAACTTAGATTTGTTCATCATATTTTGTAATTTTTTTGTTCTTTTTCAGGAATATGTTGAAAGAATTGTTGAGGAACCTGAAGAACTGTCTGACAGAAAAGTTGTGCCAAAATTTGACATGCGGGATGCAGTAGAGGTAAGTCTTTAAGGTTAAAGTCTTAATGCAATGCTTTCCTACCAAAAATTTTCTAACACCGGCCAATATTATTTTTTCACAATCTTCAGTTTCAATAATTTTTTACCATTTATAACCGAAATTTAGTACATAGCGATAAAGGTTGAGTGATTGTAAATAAATCTAATGCCCAAGATTTTGATAAAATAACGTTTAGGAAATAACCGATTTACTACAATATTAGCTCATGTTAGATTTTATTTGTTGGGTAAGCATTACAGTTACACTTCCTTTAAACTCCTCCACACAGCATAGATTTGTGATGTTTGATATAAGTTGATGTAGTGTTTTGGTATTGACTGTAATTACATTTTGTGAAAAGTTGGGCAATTGAAGTAATCCATTGATATTGGATTTTACATTTGGTTTAAATTGAAATTAGAATCAAAACATGAATATTTTGAACATTCATTCATTCATTCACTCGTTCATTCATTCAACATTCATTCATTCATTCATTTATTCATTCATTCATTCATTCATTCATTCATTCATTCATTCATTCATTCATTCATTTATAAATACTTTGTAATTTATTTGTTTATTTATTCATTGCTTTATCTTTTCATTTATTCATACATTTTGAAATTTTACTGTTGATAAGGTTTTATTTTATGTTTCTTACTGTAGTTAGTGTTCGATAAAAATAATATGGAGCTAATGTGATGATCTTGTCAGACCCCTTAGCTCAATAGGGAGAGCATCAGCTTTGTTTTAATAATAAACTAGACAGCATTGAGAAAAATGAAATGAGCCGCGTCATGACAAAACCAACATAGTGGGTTTGTGACCAGCATGGATCCAGACCAGCCTGCACATCCGCGCAGTCTGATCAGGATCCATGCTGTTCGCTATCAGTTCCTCTACTTGTTATAGGGTCAGTAAGCAAACAGCATGGATCATGATCAGACTGTGCAGATGCGCAGGCTGGTCTGGATCCATGCTGGTCGCAAACGCACTATGTTGGTTTTGTCATGACATGGCTCAAATGTTCCAATCTGTTGCAGGTATTGTTTAGTAATTTGTATTTTTTTGTATGAAGGGTAAACAGGGATTTCTTTGTGGGTTAGGAATTTCCTAATTTAATGTTAAGATACTGAAATATTTTAGATTTAGAAATTAAAAGTGACATTATGCATAGTGCATAAAAATTATGTTCAGTGAACAGGTAAAAGTAAAAAATAACATGACATTACGTTAAAATTATGTTCCATTTTAAATTTAATTTCAAATCAATGATCCACATGACCAATGGCAATTTTCAGAATGTATTGGTGAATTGTTCAGTTTGTAAAAAGTGTAGGGCAGTCTATTTATAATATAGTTCATTTCTTATTGTATAATAAACATTTTTCATTAATTTATCAAATATTGGTCAATCACCATTTTAAAATGAGTCGATCTTTTGAAAAATATATAACTTAATTCACCTCAATGTGACAGCAGAAGAAAATGAGCATAAAATGTCACTATAGTGAATTTGTCTATTCCTTACCTATAGTTTTGATAAAATAATTACATTAAAAAAAAAACTTCAAGAGATTGTGTGTTATCTATATCATTCTGCTTAGAAGGTAATCCAAAATCTAATATTTCAAGAGTTGGGTATTAGTTTTCAAGTATGGATCTATAAAGATATTGACATTAAATTAAATTCCGCAAGTGACCTTCCTTGTTTTTTTATAGTTTTATATTTTATTGATATATAGATTTTTATTATGTTTTTAATCTCATCTGAGTGAAATGATTTGAAGTATTAAATCAACATACCCATGTCAGGGATAGAGAATTATTGAGAATATTGAATCTTTATTGCTTTTTTGGTCATTTACTGTTAGATCTGCATTCTGTCATGTGAATAAGAGCTTTAACTCAAGAATTTTTTTTAACCCTATTCCCCAGACAAGTAAATTACACACCCCCCCCTTAACAATTACATGTACAAGTACGGGTGGTTGATATCTCTACCCACATACAGTGATATTCTATTTCTCTTGCCACATGGGATGTTTTAATTGCCTCTACATGTAGGAATGTTTATGTTTTAGTTTCTTCACCCATAGTAGACAGAAATAATGTGATATCTTACCCTTCCACTATAGAGTGATATTTTACAATCCCTTCTCCACAGAGGGTTAATAATTGGAATCCCTTCTCTAACAACAGGGTAATTTTTAAATTCCTCTTTCCCATTCAGGGTTTTAGTAATGTCTTTCCCCACAAAGGGATATTTTAAAATCTTTTTCTCAATAAATTGATAATTTTATCCCCCTGCACCTGACAGGGATATTTTAATTTCTTCCCTAAACACAGTGATACAGTTTGTCATGCAATTTCACTTGTCCATATCTAAGATTAGCACATTGTTTTCACTCAAGTCTTAATTTAAAACTAAAAGAAGTACATTTTATAATTCCCTTTTTTCCCAGCATAAAGATGAGCTTTCCTCTAAAAAAAAAAGCAGTCAGACCAGTGTGTTGATGACCATCTCTATAAAAACCGCTTCAGAAATATCTCCTGTTATAATTTTATCTTGCTTTATTTTTCGCATTTTATACTGGATGCAAAAGTTAATCACTTTTGGTCCCAGCATGGTATGGGTTATTGATAGATAACATGAAGGGTAGTAATGTGGCCAAGTGGTTACGGTATCTGCCTCTCATTTACCCAGGGACCATGGGTTCGAGCCTTATTGGGGTCACAATCATGTTTCCTGATGGCTGACACTGGTTAGTTCCAGGAGAGATGACTTAATAAGCTTCAAGTTCAAATGATTTTTTTTTTACAATCAAGCATAATTTATTTTTCCTACTAAACATATATGAACAAGTTTATTAATGTAACTTAAATAACTTAATTTGGAATGCTGAATAAACATTTTGATTAAATACTAATATAAACACAATAAATATTTGTTCTAGATATAAATAAATATATTATTAATTTATTCATTCAAGCTATACACAGATTAGGAATAAAATGATTTATACCTGTTTGTTTATATTGCAGATTTTTTAATGATATTTTTACGCTCGACTAATTGGAACCGATAAAGTGTTAATGAATACACTGTAATATAGTATATCACAAATATAATACAGATTGAAGTTCTTTATTAGTATGTTGATATCCGTGATAACATTTTTTATGCATAATGATCCCCTATGGTCTATACATGAGCCTAATTAAAATAGTTGGTCCAATATACTGTAGATAGTGTATCTTTTTGTAAGTAATAGCAGTTTGAAATACGGCATTAACGATTTGTTACTAAAAAAACACAACAAACAGGCAATTAGCAGTTACGAAGACTGTATTTTAGGAGTTGTTTAAAGCTTTGCACAGTATAAAGACTGTATTTTAGGAGTTGTTTAAAACTTTGCACAGTATAAAGACTGTATAGTAGGATTTAATTAGAACTTTGCCTGAGAACTGAAACATTTTATTTTGTTATCTAGGTAATTGCAAGGGTAGATAATTTATACATTTTTACTGTTGGTAAATGTTTAAACTTAATTCAAGCTTAAATTGCACAAACAAATTTTTTTTCCATCTTTAAATTCCGAGTATATTTCTTTAACATTTTTTGTATAATCTTCCATTTAAATGTTCACTAGCTGATTTATATAAGAATTTAATTTTTTTTTCATTAGCTGAGTTGAGTTCCTTGAAATCAATAAGCAATTACAGTAAAATAATATTAGATCTGCAGTTGTAATTAAACAGACGAAAATAACTAGTGCTCAAAGTTGAACAGTTTATAGTAATAACTTACAGCCTGCTTTACAACAGTGTGGGAATTTGATTATTGTTTAAGAAATAAAAAAAGGGTGGAAATATGGGAGTTTAAAAGGCTTTAAAAAAATCTGGATTTTGTAAATTAATTATTTAGTTGTGATTTTATTTGTAAAATGCCAGGATGTGAAAACTGTTGGATAAAGTATTAATTATTGTTTACATTGGATTTAATAAATGAAATAGAAATCTTGAATTTATTCATTTAGAGTTTTGATAACATGCAGATAAATGCATAACAAATTGATAATTTGATATAATCCAGTATAGAGGTTAATTCGGGTTAAAACCAATGTTTGACAGGAATAGAAATGGCTGTCAGATAAAAGGAAAATGAGAATTAAGAAAAGTTGAAATCACATTTTGATTGATTTGTACAGAATGGTTTGGGAATGCATTTTGTTCTGATCTAATGCTTTAAGCTTGTTTATAATGAAAGTTTGTACTTTGAAATTGTGATGTGTCATTGTCAGGATTTGTTAGATATGATGTGAATATTTAGGATAAAAAGTGTTATAATAGTATGTGTACCATTTATATTTAATATTTGTGGATTGTTAGAATTTTAGCATTTTTTTACTTCTTTGAAATTGATACAATTTTTCGATTACTCACTGAAATTAAAAAAAAAGAAGATAGTATTAAATGTATTATGCTTCTGTATACTATAAATTTAAATAGATGGGCTTAATATAGTTGAGATATAAAGATAAGAAAATACCTATTTTTTTATTATAATTTTAAGATTTTGATAATATGATCTTAAAAATAGTAACATATAAAATTATGATGATGCATAAATAAATATACAAGAATTCAAATGAATGAACTGAATAAATTATATTATATAGATTTTACTATAATAATTGTGCAACGTCGTAACACCGGTATTTGCAGTAGATCAAAACAAAGAATTTATTTAAGTTTGGTTGTATAAGAAAGCTATAAGCATATAATTATAAATTTCCTCTCAAGTCTGTTTCTGGAACAAGCCAGAAATAATCAAGTATGAAGTTTTCTAGCTCAAGCATGTAACAACAGCTTGCTCCTGTGAGACACAGGGTTTGAACCCACCTGCCAGCACTCATGAAATGAAATGAATAAATGAGGTTGTATATGAAATAAGATCTTTAAAATTGTACTTTAATATTCTTGTACTTTAATTT